AAAAAAACATCATCAGCTTTGTTTCTTAACAGATAATTATCATTTTTACTGGATTCTGCCGGAAAGCGTTTCTTAACACAAAAAAAAATTGCAGAAGAGAGCCAAAAAGAGAGCATAAAAAAACGAGAGCTGCAAATTTCTGCTGGTGAAATTTCGGTTTAAGAAGCAGCTGTTCAAAACGCACAAGGAAAAGGTTGGCAAGTTTATTTTTCTTCGTATTAATAAAACAAAACGAGTGCATCGTTATCAAAACACATTAGGTTTAGGTGCGTTCGACAAGTCAAAAATTTGTAATAGTTTTACCAAATTTTTACTGGATGGCGTTCGATGACGACAAAAAATTATCCAACAAACAAAAATTGAGAGAGCAAGCGTTCATTTTGATGCAAGAGAAGCGTTCATTTTGTACTGGCAAAATTTTAGTCAGCAAAAATTATCCAACACGAAAACATATGATCACAAAACATATGGTTGCAATTTTTGTAAACAAACAAAATTGCATTTTCCGAGTTTTGGTATTTATATGCTTTTTGGCTGACTGCTATGTGACTCTATGATAGCGCCAACTAGTTTTTACTTCTAGAAATGTTCCTGGCGAACATTGAACGTTCACTTTCCTTTTTTCTTCTATGGAGCCAACATGAATTTCAGTTTGTTTACAAATAAAACATAAACAAAGTCTTCCGGTTTTTGCAAGTAATGGCTAATTTCCTGTTCGTTTACTTTTTTGGTTTTTCATCTCTTTGGGAGAGAATTTTCGCTTACTCTCTTGATTTTGATTGTTGGCTGGTGTTGGCTAATTTTGTTATCGAACGCAACTAATAATAAAGAAGAGAACCATTTTGAAATATGACTATTTTTACTCTCTAGAAAATAATTTATGCAACCTCACATACGCGGTTTTGCATTTTTTTGATACGCGGCTTTGTGCTTTAAACGACGATATGTATATACATATGTATTGGGCCAAATTTAGTTAATAATGCAGTTATGCTAAACTCATCAAGATCTTTCAAATGGCTTTATCAGATTTTGGATATCTCCTTTGGATTTCGAGATATTTGGTATAATTTTATCGTTTATGCAAGGTCACAAGCGTTTTAGTCGCATTTTGTCGTATAATTTAAGAGTTTGGCACATACGACATTTTTTCATACAAATTCAGTGTTTATAAGTCTCAACAAAAAATATTTGTATGTAAGAGACCAGCTAACACATACGACTAAATTTGATCTTGTTCGGTAAAAATATGTCGTATTTATTATTGAACGAGCATTGACTTTCCCAAAAAAGCAACTTAAACAAAAAGGACCTACAAAGTTGTATTCTATTTTTAACCGACTTCAAAAAAAGGAGGAGGATATCAATTCCTCAGAATGTTTTATTTTATTTTATTTTTTTTTATGTATGTTACCGTATAACTTTGAACCCCGTCAACCGATTTCGATAATTCTTTTTATTTTATCGGAAAGGTGGTACCTAAAGTGCGGTCCCATACCGATTTAGATTTGATCATGGAATCATGAAGAAATTAACGGTAGTCTTACATTTTTTGTTGGTGAAAGAAAAAGAGAAATGAAAGAGAAAGAACCATATGAAAAATGTAATTCAAATGACTCATATACATATGTAAATTAGACTGCATCACCAAAAATAGTGGCGGTTTTTTCGCCGGGATTACAAAATTTATTATATTTTTGAAGACGTCCACCAAAACATTACGGAAAAATATTAAGATTTGAGCGAGCTGGACCGACTGCCGAAGTCATTCGTGTCCCAATTTTCTTCTTTTTTTCCAAGTACCAACCCATCTTAATTCAACTTTGAATGATGCTCGATCATTCTACCTTTCTCTTTAATCCTTTGAATGAGCTTATTATCAAAGAAATAAAAAGGGTGAGAAAATACCTTTCCAATGAAAGAGTTTAGGTTCAGTTATTCAAGTTCCATTATTACGTTTACGTTCAAATTTTTTTTTTTCTAAATATTTTTATTTAAACTTTTTAAGCTTAAACCGTTTTGTCATTTGAGTGGATTTTTTCAAAAAACATATTTAATTAACTATTTTTATTCATAAAAAACTCTATTTTTGGAGGTATTTTCAAATCGGTCCAGCTCGCTTAAATCTTAATATTTTTCCAAAATATTTTGGTGGACGTCTTAAAATACAATAGATTAGAATAAATAAAATTAACAATAAACAGATTTTGTGTAATTTTTTTTTTAATAATAAATCGCTAGCTTAGAAAGAAAAGTTGCTAAGTCCCATTTTAAAAATTTTGCAGGAGAGGAAAAAATCTTCCTATAGCCATTTTCTTTAACTATTTCGCAAGACTTTGAATCAAACATTTTGCGCGTTTAAAGCACAACAAAACTCCATAAGAATCAGAAGGATTCGATATTTATTAATAGATGTCGTATTATTTTCGCCTTATCGGATTTGTGGTGCTTCTCTGGACTTAGCAAATTTTCCTTTTATTGCTTATGAAGAGGAAAAAATAAAACAAGTACCTTTATAATTTTCGAAACGATGCGTATTCAGTTTCTCTAGCCTCCTATATCAAAATATGAGTTTTCATAAAAAGTGGACTTAGCAACTTTTCACTCTAAGCTAGCGAAATATCAATATTTCCTTAAGCTAGAAACAACATAAATATACAATTTTCAAAGAAATCTACCGTGACGTTTTCAAGAGACAAAAATCAAATGTAACATACGAAAATCAGATGTACTTACACAAATATCATCATTGCATCCCAGAGGTAGAGAAAAGCGGGTAGTGGGCCGTAAGCTTCCAGTATATACGCATAATCGCCGCCAGACTTTGGTATCGTCGTACCCAATTCAGCATAACAAAGCGCGCCAATCATCGACAACATGCCACATAGCACCCATATGATTAGTGATGTGCCAACCGCTTCCACTTCACGTATCACACCTTTGGGTGATATGAAAATGCCTGAACCGAATATAACACCCAATATAATGGCAACTCCTTCAAGTAGTCCCAATTGTTTTTTCATACGCACAGCACTGTTATTTGAATCGGCAGATCCTTCATGTTGGCCGCCCACACCCCCATTGCTAACTGTGATAGCAGCGGAGTTGTCTGTGGTGACATTGGGGGCAATTTCACTAGCGGGAGTTAATAGCACAATTTCGCTGGTGGGCGATTGTAGGTCACTAGGGGCGCGCATTATGTTGAGTTATATATTCAACAATTTATTTCTATTACAGTCTCGTTGATCCAATTTTGCCCTTTATCCGCTTGCGTTTACTTGAAAAGTCGCGATAAGACTGAGGCGGACGTTCTTCAACAGCAACGCCTATGGTCAGCTAGAGTTTTGCTGAATCCAAAGATGTAATTGAAATTCGTTATTACGTTTTGCGCTTCGCTTATACACATCGCGGCGAAAGTATCTCAATAATGCCGGGTGTTTTTCGTATTTTGTTTTGCTATACCGTTTCTGCCCTATAACTGTGCTTCCTCATTACTCAACCCACTAGCTTCTTCGCCAAGGGCAAGGGGCCTTGCTCGAAGCCCACTGACACAGTTTCAGAAAGCAACAACCACTAGTTGTACTATGTACATATTTTTAGGTTAGATGCACTGCACTTCCACTTTAATTCATGCGCTGGGTATATGAATCACTGGAAAATCGATAGTGTTTCCAAATATTTCAAATGTCTTTAGTCATATTTTCCAAAAATTTATTTAATTTCTGATTTATTTTGTACAACTTATATTTTTATTTGTCAAAGAATATCAATTGAAAATTTACAACACGCGAAAAACAAGCACAGGCCAGCGCAACTGTCAAACGGAAAATAGCAATACGGAAAATGAAAAGTGAAAAGTGGGTGAACTGCGATAGGGGCGGAAAACGAAATGTTGAAAGGAAAAGTGCGCAGTGTTGGAAAACGGAAATAGGCGAAAATAAATACAAATGTAAGTACATACATATGTTTATAAAATAATCGTGATTCGGTTGATAGCAAGTACGTACAGGCTCATAGTATAAAAAACGCGCGCAAGCATTTATAATAGTTTTAACGCATACTTTTCTTTAAAGCATACTTTTAGGGTGAGAAGAAAACTCCCACTTCCGCGCGTTGAAAAAAGTCAAAGCACATATTTTTAATACATACACACATATTTTTATTTGAATCGCTACTATACAAAACTACATGTTTTATAATGCATATGCTAATAACTGAGCACTATGACAAGGGTTCTCATAAATTAAAAATAATGCAATAAATGGCATCATTTTTAATGTTACATTTTATATTTACTTTAAATATCTGAAACATTTCATTGACGATTAATGAATATATCGCACACTATCTTCAAAAGTGACACAACTCAAAATTACACGTTCGCCAGAAAATGCAAAAAACTATTTCTTAGCGTATGCTAATCATATGGGCAAGTGAGAATTTACCTTAGGTTTTTTCAACAAATTATAACAAAAATTTGCTCCAGTTTTTGCTGAAAGGTAAATGCAAGCTCTGCGCACCTTTGGGTTGTGTCACTTTAGAAGATGGTGTGCGTATTGAAATAAAGTACGCATGCTTGTCTGCACACATCCTCATTTCTTTTCTTTTGCATGTAACTTTGAATTGATCATATCTTTGAATTGCGATAAAATTTTGTTTTCGCGTTTTTGTCGCTCCTCTTTGCTGAACATAGCCAACGCTCGTTTTTCATCGGCCGAATATATTTGATTTTCCTTGCGAATACGCACAGCTTCCATGCGACGATGCCTTAACAAATAAAAAACAACATTAGTCTGATTATAAAAAAAAAGTCAATGTATCTTACCTGCTACCGCTCATTACATAACCCACGGATTCAAAATTTGCGATCTCTTCAGATGTCAAACCAATTTCTCCTCTTCTTGGAATTCTTTTACCTTCAGCAATATACGCTGCCATAGCCGCACCTTCACCAGGTAGCAAAGCGCGTCCAAAATCCTTTTGACTTAGGCCACTGGTCTGCCTCAGCGTGGGTCCAAACTCTTCACCATCCGCGTTAACTCCCAGTGACGTTCCAGGTCTATCTTCTCTGCCCTTTTTGGTTTCGTTGCGTATATGTTTTTTTCCCTTCTTTTGTTTTTTGTTCCTTTTGATTTTTATTTTCTTTTTTATAGGCCTGACACCCTCAGCAGTCTTTTCTAGCCAAGTTTCCTTTACATCTTCACTATCTGTGGAGCTTTCGCTATCAGAACTGGAGTCATCTGAGCTATCTTCGGAAGATGAAGCAGAGCTCGAGCTCGATGTGTCACTAGAACTTGATGCGTTTTTTTTCTTTCTGTGCTTACTTTTGGATTTTTTCTTACTACTTTTACGTTTCTTTGATTTTTTAGATTTCTTCTTTTTCGCCTTACTTTTCTTCTTCTTTGGCTTTTTATAAGTTCCGTCCAGAATTTGTACATCTGGATCGTCTTGCTCGTCATCAGAATAAGATTCTGGATGTGCCGGGCTTTTGGCCCATACGTCTTCTGTACCTTCTATGCCGATTAATTCACGTTGTGCCCTTCGTGCGTCTAAATAGTTCGACGATTTTTTCTGTTGGTGATTACTTGCTCCTCCCCGAAAAGGATTATTTTGCCGTCCACCATAATTGTTTTCATGGAACTTGTCATTTGGCCAACGTTCTTCGCCGTGATTCTTATGTTTAGATGGGGAACGACTAGTCCTATTCTTTGACTTCGAACGACGAGTCTCTCGACGTTGATGCCTATGGTGATGGCTTTGCACGGAGCGCCTACTTGATCTTGATCTTGAACGAGATTTTGAGCTACTCGGCGTTTTGGTTCTTGACCGTGTTGCCTTTCGTCGGTGTTGATCTCGTTCTCTTTGACGTGTAGCACCACGATCCCGCGAATTACTTCTACGTCTTTGGGGCGATCGATGACGACTACGAGAACGCGTTCGGGAAGGAGAACGCATTTAAACACAAATATTAAACAATTTCTTAGATTTTTTATATTATACAAACAAACTAGCAGAGCCAATTTTGCACAACTT